CCCTAAACCACACAAAATCCTTGCGCAACCCGAGACTTGTACAAGTCAATATTGTGGAATTTACTACAGCATAAAATTGCGCAAACCTTATTTTGAAGAAACGTTGCTCAAGTAAATATGTGCAAGAAATATGAATGTGCGTTGTATATATTGATAGCTTCATCTTTAAAACGTAAAAAAAAACTAAATTCAAAAAAATATATTTTTTTCGATATTTCGTAATGTTTTTGTGTGGTTTAGGGGTCCTATAACAGTTATAAGAGTTACCCAATCAACTTATAAATATCTATATATAAATTGTGAGACTTCAAATAACAATAAAAAAATATTAGCCTTTAGACTAGTAGTACTATTCATAGTTTTCGAAAATTCATTTCTGCCAGCCGAAAGTATCAAAATACGGCATTTGGGAACAAAAAAGGATCAGATATTAAAATTTAGAAAAACAGTATTAAAAAATTACAATTGTACCAAAACGGCAACGCTGATCGTGATGGAAAACGTAGTTAACATCTTGTCGTCATAGCGACGATGGAATTAACATCGTCAGCCGAGTGAAAATACTGCTAAAGTAACAAAGGCAGCGCCGCTTGTGATACCCTTGCTTGCCTCACCGCTCGTGCCATAAATTCAAATTGGTTGGATAGTCGACATGCGTCTTCTGTATACTGTTTATTCTGTGATAAGACCTTCATGCCACTGTTTGTGGAATGCTTGTGCCACAACGATTGCAGAGGAGTACTCTCTGAGCGCAAATGCCCCTCTGATTTCATTTGTAATTTGATTGACTTGTTCAATTGTACCATGTTTTTCTCGGAAACCAAATTGGTGTGCTGGTATTGAAATGCGTTCATGGAGAAAGGGAGATATCTTTGGTAGAAGTACTTTTTCGGTTATTTTGAAAATACAGGGTAGTAAGCTTATTGGTCTGTATGAAGACGGCTGTGTTGCGTTTTTCAGGTTTGGCTTTCATGATTATCTTCGACCTTTTCCATGATTTCGGAAAGTAACCGAATTTGAGAATAGCACTGAAAAGCTCCGAAAGAATATAATCTGCATCCAGTGATTTTCTGGGATTTAGCTGCGTTAATATAGCTTTCACTTCTGAAGAGGTTGTCTTGCTAGGTGTGTCTTGTGTTAAACGTGGGAGCCTGAAGTTGGACAGTTTGGCTGAAACACATTCTTTAAATGGTTTGAAAAACACTCGACTTTCTTTTGGTCACTACGATCCTAGGTACCACTTTGGGTCCTAATTGGCATTTCTGCATTTCTCTAGGCATTGGAGGTTTGAAGTTCCTTTGCGATTTCCATAGAGAGTATCTTTCAGTAGAATTCGGGGAAAGCTTCTTAATGTATCTTTGCAAGTTGCACGTTTATTATAGGTTTTTTTGACGGGTCATTGTCAGCTAAGGCGCCACTTGCTACATATGGTATTGGTCAAGCGATCTTTGTCGCTGTTCCCCCTCTCTCTCTTCCATCCCCTTCTTCAGATATCGCTCAACTGTCGTTTGGATGCTGGCTGTAGGGTGGCTTTGTAAGCTTATACGTTTTTTAATTTACCCCTTTCAGGGCCAGTTTTTCAGTGCAAGTTTAAACTTAGATTAAGTAAACTGAGTTTAAATTGAATAACTGGCTGCCATTTGTTTGGCTGATCGTAGTTTAAACCAGCCAGATCGGGCCTTCAAACTTAATTTAAACCACGGTTTGCACTGAAATGCTGGGTCATGCATGAAATCTTTACACTTTCTACCTTTAACGCTCTGGCCTCTAACTGATCGCTTAATTTGTAACCAAATCTTAAACTTTCTCACTTTAAGCTGCTTTAATTGCCATAGATTATTATTAGTTCACCGTAATCCCAAATGGGGGTCAAGTATAACTAAACATCTAGGCAGCAATGCCAGTGAGAATTTTAGGTGCCGAAGAATACTGCAAATTTTACAGCAAATAACAGAAGCATTTTAACACATACCCACCCAACAAGTTAAATGATGACTTAAAGTATTCTGTCTGAATTTTCATATGGCACGTTGACGCCACAAAATACCAACAACTGGCTTGGCATTTGCCCGAGCGTCAACACCGAGCATATCCAGCTCCTTTTCCGCTTTCCGTCATGCTCATGTTCATCTTCACATACGAATATTGCAGAAAATGTATTTAATGTGTGAGCATTATCATCAACTGAAACGCCATCACCGCAATCGCACAACACTTTCAGTTTCATTTTGCAACGCCCCCTTCAGCCCGTCAGCCCGTCAGCACGCCACCCAGCTCGCGCTAACTGAAATACTTTCCGCGTAATTGGCAGAATTGTGTTTGTTGGAAGGAAGCAGTGAAGATGGACGTCAGACGGCATTTATAACGAGAAAATTCAAGTGAGCGCTCGAGTAGAATGGACTAGGCTAATACATACATATGCATGCATATGCATGTATACTTTTTGGCATC